TATAGTATAAGAGCGCGCGGTGGCTCGGTCGGCTAGGTCGTGGATTGGCACGCGGGAGACCGTGGTTCCATTCCCGGGCAGTGCGACTTTACGGGCAAGTACCTCTGTGATTTTTCACATGTGCTTTTTCACCATGCAATGCTCCTCGAGGAGGGCTTAGGCGACCTTCTCGCAGCAAAAATTGCCTAATTTTCCCCTACCCCCCTCCCAGTAATGGGAGGCCTCCCATCCCACATTCCTTCCTTCTCCCAAGTGCTAAGTGCCCATAGTAGTTCATTTATTAAAGGAGCTGGACGTAGAGCGCTATAATATAAAAAAAAAAAAACTTATATACTAATATAAATGCACTCTCCGTTCTTTTTCTAAGAGCAAATTTTATATTTATTATTAATTTAACAATTTAAAAGCGTACTGGAGTTATTTGGTTAAAGTTGCCTGTTGTATTAATGATGTATGTAATGATTAAGCAGCACACTGCGTCGTCCGGTTAAAGGTACCTGTTATATTAATTATTTATTTAAAAATAAGGAAGCGCAGTTGGTCGTTTGGTTTGGTTAAGTGCATATTTGAGGAAATACAGAACCTATGTTAAGACCTAACTCAAGGTCTCTACATAGCATACATTATGATTACAGCATCCATGTGCGTTAATTTCATACGCTTAGTAATTAACGCTAACAGCGCCACTCTATGGTGTAAGCCGTTGTTTTCTTTTTTTAAGTGTATGTTATATTAAAATATTATTCAAGAAAAATAACACGGCACATGTATTTTTCTTACGGCAAAGAAATAATTTTATAGTTTGTTTGGTTGTTATTATATAATTCATAGTTTGACAACCTCACTTTTGCGCACTTTGACCGAACGATTATGGGCTACTTACTAAGCGTATTCTAAAAAAAAGTAGCTGTTTTTCGAAACTAATAAATTGTATGTTTTGTAGTGTTTTATTAAAACATCTCAGTAAAATAATATAAATAAAATATCATAAATAAAATAATTTCATAAAAAATCTTAGTATTCATTGGGAAGATTTTCAAAAACAATAATTTTTAACTGGACAGATGAAATAAAAACACTTCTTTCAACACAACTTTGTGTTATACAATTGTAAAATAAAAAAGGTTTGAATAACAGGTAGAAATTTCTGAATTCGTAAAAAAGGCTTACTGACGATAAGATATTACATTGTATTTAACTTATGTTAGATGTTAGAATTATAAATTGTAGTAAGAATACTTAAATATGAGATATATTTAAATTATAGTACTTACACAGCTCACTGTGGGAGAGAAACACATTTTCACAATTTTAACGTAAAATATATAATAGAAGTTTTTTAGGCATTTTCGTATTTGATAATGAGTATACAACAATCACACAAAAGCAAAGTATTTTGAGCCACCGTTAACTGAATGCAGTGCACTATTGGAGCGATAAAGTAATAGACAACAAGAGCATTATCATACGAACTTAGCAAATGACGCTACCTAACAAGTGAAAGATATCAATTTTTCGGATAAGATAGAAATAGTAGTTCTTAGCCTTTTAACCTTAAAACAGCACCTTTACTACTTGATTTTTAATTCTCAGGTGAAACAATAGTATACAAAACTCATTCAAAAAAGCTTTTTTACGAACCTTATTTAACTCGGATTTGGTTTGTAAATCAAAGCCTTTGCGAACTTGTAATTAATTTAATAATACAGAGATTTATAAAATTGAAAAGTCATTCCTTACAATGATAAAATAATTGGTGTAGCTATTAAATTAAACTTTAGCTAACTGATAGATTTAATCCTTGTACGTAATGCAGTGGTCTGCAAAAAGAATATTTTTTCTATAATATTTTTGAAGTAAAACAACGCAAAAAAACGTTGCCGTGACCGATTAATATGTGGGTACTCCAACGCTCCTACCTGACAACGCTACGCGGCAGCACCGCCGCAAGCAAAAATTAGAGTACCTGTGGGTACTCCAACGTAGGTAAAGAAGAAGTCAACTTCCTTGGATTTACGTTGACACCTCAAGGATTCAAGCCACCAGCGCACAAGGTGGACGTCATCGACAAGTTCCCAAAGCCGACTACCATCCAGGAGCTCCGTAGGTTCTTGGGCATGACGAATTATTATCGCCGCTGCATACCTAACGCAGCCTTTCTACAAGCTCCTCTAAACAATATGCTTGTCGGAGCACCCAAGAATAAAAAGGCCAAGCTGAGCTGGAACAGGGATGCCGATCAAGCCTTTGAGAACTGCAAAAAGGCTCTGCGAGATGCATCTGTCTCCTTCTATTTGTCTCCGCATGCACCGCTGGCTCTATCCACTGACGCCTCAGACTCAGCTCTCGGAGCAGTCCTCGAGCAGCATGTCGACTCTGAGTGGCGCCCAGTGTCGTTCTACTCAAGAAAGCTTACGCCAGCCGAAACCAACTACTGCACTTACGACAAGGAGCTCCTCGCGGCCTACACTGCAGTCAAGCATTTCAGCCGTTTTCTAGAAGGTCGCACTTTCGTACTTCGGACTGATCACAAGCCCCTCATCTACGCGGGTGAGCAGTCCTCCAACAAGGCATCTCCTCGTCGACAGCGGCATCTGGACTACCTGCTTCAATTCAATGTAGATTTCCAACACATCAAAGGAGACGACAATGCAGTCGCAGATGCTCTCTCGAGAACCTGCGCCATCGAGATGCCCTCTGGGCTTCGAGCACATCACATCGAAGCAGCTCAGAGGAACGACCAAGAGCTGCAAAATCTGCTGGACAATGGCATCCTGGACTTGCAGATGTTAAGAATAGAGGACACGGAGCTCGCCTGTAACGTCAAGGACGGAACGGTCAGGCCCTTCATACCAGCAACGCTACGACGTCAGGCTTTCGACGCTCTACACGCACCCGCTCATCCAAGCGCTCGTGCCATGGTCAAGTTGATGACGTCCAAATTCGTCTGGCCTGGCATTAAAAAGGACGCTAACCGCTGGAGCTTGGCCTGCCAGGGCTGCCAACTCTCTAAGGTCAGCAGACACAACAGAGCCGCCCTGCAGTCATTTGATCTCCCGGACAACAGGTTCGAGCATGTCCATCTGGACATCATCACTTTGCCACAGGTAGGAAATCTGCGTTACTGCCTAACCATGGTGGATAGGTTCAGCAGATGGCCAGTAGCCGTTCCTCTGGCTGACATCACAGCCGAAACAGTAGCCGCAGCTTTCACAAAGGAGTGGATTGCAAACTTTGGTTGCCCTCTAACCATAACCACCGATCAGGGCAAACAGTTCGAGTCATCTCTCTTTGCCGCTCTAGCACGCATGGTAGGAGCCAAGCACGTACACACGACGCCCTATCACCCTCAAAGCAACGGCCTGGTCGAGAGGTTCCACCGCACCTTCAAAGCAGCTCTTATGTGCGAGTCCAGCACACCATGGCCAGAACGCCTTCCAATTACTCTTCTCGGGCTGCGAGCTTGCATCAAGGAGGACCTCCAAGCTTCTCCAGCGGAGATGATTTTTGGCACCACTCTCCGCCTACCTGGTGAATTTTTTGTTTCTAGCAGCATCCAGGCAGAGCCGCACAAATTCCTAAACCAGCTGAGAGACCTCATGAGGACCCTTCGAGCAGTGCCAGCCTCACATCACGCCAAGTATCGCGTCTTCTACTACAAGGCGCTGGATACCTGCTCGCACGTCTACCTCAGGGTTGACAGCGTCCGCAAACCACTGCAACATCCATATACAGGCCCGCACAAGGTCGTCAGGCGCCTCAATGAGAAGCTCTTTGTTATCCTCGTGAATGGCGTGGAAAAGACTGTGTCAACGGACGGGCTCAAGCCAGCTTTCCAGGACGAAGATGACGTCCCCAAAACGTCTACGACACCGTCAAACGGTGCCCCGCCACCAGCACAGCCAGGCACCCCGCCACCAACACAACCTGACGACCCGCCACCAGCACTGCAGACCACCCCGCAACTGGCCCAGCAGCAGACCTCAGTCCAGAAGCCAAAATCAATCCTCAAAAGGACTCAGGCTCCTGTGCCAACGCCTTCTGCAACAGGGAGCTCATCAGCGTCCAAAGCGGGGCCGGCAATTTTGCGCAAACGGGTTTCGTTCCCTTCGTGCCTCACGAAGGTCTCTACGGGGGGAGTACCTGTGGGTACTCCAACGCTCCTACCTGACAACGCTACGCGGCAGCACCGCCGCAAGCAAAAATTAGAGCCGCGGAGCTGGCTCTCGGCGATCCAACCCAACCCGACTGCGACCAGACTTCTTCCCTGCGACGTACGTTGAGCACGCGACGCCAACTCTCGCAACGATCTCGCTATTATCTGTGATTTTAATAAAGTACAATTGCCATGTATCAATAAATATCAAGTTTGTCTTTCTTATAAGTGTGCGTTTCATTGTGTACTTTCACCTTGACTACCAAAGTGGTGACCCTGACGTGATGCAAAAGGTTTAGTGCACGGCCGCAAAGGGCCCGGTGAAAGTGACATGCCACACGTGTATTAGTGCGCCGTCAAGCAACAGCTCTGACTAAACGTCAATCTCGCTCTCTGCAGCTGGCTTCTTCGCGCACGGACAGCTACCCCTACAGATCGCAGCAGTGTAAAAAAAAATAAGACTAAATAAAGAAAAAAGAGAATGACCGGCGGGGGAAACGGAGACGGTAATGGCAGCGGCGGAACTGGCAACGGTGGTGATGTAACTCCGCCAGGACAGGTGGCGGTCCAGACAGTGCATAACTGCAAACTCCCGCCTTTCTGGAGAGCGTCCCCGGAAGCATGGTTTTTCCAGATCGAGTCTGCTTTCAACTGCAATCAAGTGCGTTCAGACACGACACGTTTTAACCTCGTCGTCGCAGCTTTAGACAGCGAGGTCGCGCAAGAGCTTCTCGATGTTCTGCGCGCTGTGCCAGACACAGGCAAATACGACTACCTGAAGAGGCATGTGCTAGCGAGATTCGCCGACACTGAGGAGAAGCGCCTTCGAACCCTCTTCACGCAACTGCACGTCGACGGTCGCACTCCGTCGCAGTTATTGCGTCACATGCGCTCCCTTGCAGGCAACAAGGTCAGTGACGAAGTGCTCAAGGTCAAGTGGTTAGATCTCCTCCCAGTGCCTACCCAGAGGATAATGCGTGTCCTCAAGAACAACACGCTAGATGAATTGGCAGAGGCTGCTGATCACATGGCAGACACGCCTGCATTGGTAGATGCCATCCGGCCGCAAGGGCATCAGCGAACTCCATCGCCGAATCGTGCCTCCTCGTTGAATTTTGAAGCCGCCCTTTCAGCTCAGGCCGTGGAGATAGCTGCTCTACGCGCTACCATGACACAGCTCTTGGCAACAGTCCAAAAGCTCTCGGATTCGTCTGAAGGAGGCCAGCGCTCGGGGCGGCAACGGAATCGCAACAACAGCCGCAGTAACAACAGATCCCGCTCGCCCACTCCCTCGCAGAATGGTTACTGTTTTTATCATCATCGCTTCGGCATGGATGCTAGGAAGTGCGAGCAGCCTTGTGCCTGGAAATCTCTTCCGGGGCAGGGAAACTAAGCAAGCTGCCGTCTGTTCAGGCGGCACACGGCAGCGAACTGCCTCAGGAAAACCGCCTTCACGTTTTCGACAGGAACTCTGGCATGAGCTTCCTGGTTGATTCAGGCTCTGTCGTCTCTCTGTTACCACGCTCAGCCGTGCGTCAAGGACTTACTGCTCAACCTTTAAAACTTTCAGCTGCCAACATGTCTTCTATAGCAACATATGGGCGCCGCATGGTCACACTCAACCTCGGGCTCCGGAGAGCATACACCTGGCCTTTCATCATCGCGGACGTTCAGGGAGCCATCATCGGTGCCGATTTTCTGGCGCATGCAGGCCTCCTCGTTGACATGCAGCGCCGTCAACTTTTGGACTCGGCCACCTCTCTCAGCGTCCCGGCGCAGGTGTGCGCAGCGCAACTGCACACAGTGTCGCTCCTCAGTAGCCCAGATCAAGGTCTCCCGGACTTCAGGGCACGATACGATCAGCTGCTGTCGGAGTTCTCAGACATCACCAAGCCCATGAAGCAACGAGCCACACTGACCGGGACAAGCGTGACTCACCGCATCCACACAACGGGACCTCCAGTCTACGAGCGTCCACGCGGCCTGCATGGTGAGCGTCTGAACGTGGCCAAGCGTATGTTCAACGACCTGCTGGACCGAGGAGTTGTGCGACGATCTTCAAGTCAGTGGTCTAGTCCTCTTCACCTGGTGCCTCGTCCAGGGGGAGCGTTTCGAGTCACAGGCGATTACCGGCGTCTCAACTCGTGCACACAGCCGGATCGCTACCCCCTCCCAGTGATAGAGGACCTCATGCATCGATGTCACGGCGCCAAGATCTTCTCCACAGTAGACCTGGAGAAGGCTTTTTACCAGGTGCCCATGGCAGAGGAAGACATCGGCAAGACTGCTGTGGCAACGCCCTTTGGTCTATATGAGTTTTTGAGTATGCCGATGGGCCTTAGAAATGCCACACAGACATTTCAGCGCTTCATGGACTCGCTGCTGCAAGACCTCCCTTACGCTCACGCCTACGTGGACGACATAATCGTCGCGTCCAAAAGTCACGAGGAACACCTACAGCACTTAAAAAAGCTCTTTGAAACTCTACGAGCTGCGAATCTCTACGTGAAGCTAGAGAAGTGCGACATAGGTAAAGAAGAAGTCAACTTCCTTGGATTTACGTTGACACCTGAAGGATTCAAGCCACCAGCGCACAAGGTGGACGTCATCGACAAGTTCCCAAAGCCGACTACCATCCAGGAGCTCCGTAGGTTCTTGGGCATGACGAATTATTATCGCCGCTGCATACCTAACGCAGCCTTTCTACAAGCTCCTCTAAACAATATGCTTGTCGGAGCACCCAAGAATAAAAAGGCCAAGCTGAGCTGGAACAGGGATGCCGATCAAGCCTTTGAGAACTGCAAAAAGGCTCTGCGAGATGCATCTGTCTCCTTCTATTTGTCTCCGCATGCACCGCTGGCTCTATCCACTGACGCCTCAGACTCAGCTCTCGGAGCAGTCCTCGAGCAGCATGTCGACTCTGAGTGGCGCCCAGTGTCGTTCTACTCAAGAAAGCTTACGCCAGCCGAAACCAACTACTGCACTTACGACAAGGAGCTCCTCGCGGCCTACACTGCAGTCAAGCATTTCAGCCGTTTTCTAGAAGGTCGCACTTTCGTACTTCGGACTGATCACAAGCCCCTCATCTACGCGGGTGAGCAGTCCTCCAACAAGGCATCTCCTCGTCGACAGCGGCATCTGGACTACCTGCTTCAATTCAATGTAGATTTCCAACACATCAAAGGAGACGACAATGCAGTCGCAGATGCTCTCTCGAGAACCTGCGCCATCGAGATGCCCTCTGGGCTTCGAGCACATCACATCGAAGCAGCTCAGAGGAACGACCAAGAGCTGCAAAATCTGCTGGACAATGGCATCCTGGACTTGCAGATGTTAAGAATAGAGGACACGGAGCTCGCCTGTAACGTCAAGGACGGAACGGTCAGGCCCTTCATACCAGCAACGCTACGACGTCAGGCTTTCGACGCTCTACACGCACCCGCTCATCCAAGCGCTCGTGCCATGGTCAAGTTGATGACGTCCAAATTCGTCTGGCCTGGCATTAAAAAGGACGCTAACCGCTGGAGCTTGGCCTGCCAGGGCTGCCAACTCTCTAAGGTCAGCAGACACAACAGAGCCGCCCTGCAGTCATTTGATCTCCCGGACAACAGGTTCGAGCATGTCCATCTGGACATCATCACTTTGCCACAGGTAGGAAATCTGCGTTACTGCCTAACCATGGTGGATAGGTTCAGCAGATGGCCAGTAGCCGTTCCTCTGGCTGACATCACAGCCGAAACAGTAGCCGCAGCTTTCACAAAGGAGTGGATTGCAAACTTTGGTTGCCCTCTAACCATAACCACCGATCAGGGCAAACAGTTCGAGTCATCTCTCTTTGCCGCTCTAGCACGCATGGTAGGAGCCAAGCACGTACACACGACGCCCTATCACCCTCAAAGCAACGGCCTGGTCGAGAGGTTCCACCGCACCTTCAAAGCAGCTCTTATGTGCGAGTCCAGCACACCATGGCCAGAACGCCTTCCAATTACTCTTCTCGGGCTGCGAGCTTGCATCAAGGAGGACCTCCAAGCTTCTCCAGCGGAGATGATTTTTGGCACCACTCTCCGCCTACCTGGTGAATTTTTTGTTTCTAGCAGCATCCAGGCAGAGCCGCACAAATTCCTAAACCAGCTGAGAGACCTCATGAGGACCCTTCGAGCAGTGCCAGCCTCACATCACGCCAAGTATCGCGTCTTCTACTACAAGGCGCTGGATACCTGCTCGCACGTCTACCTCAGGGTTGACAGCGTCCGCAAACCACTGCAACATCCATATACAGGCCCGCACAAGGTCGTCAGGCGCCTCAATGAGAAGCTCTTTGTTATCCTCGTGAATGGCGTGGAAAAGACTGTGTCAACGGACGGGCTCAAGCCAGCTTTCCAGGACGAAGATGACGTCCCCAAAACGTCTACGACACCGTCAAACGGTGCCCCGCCACCAGCACAGCCAGGCACCCCGCCACCAACACAACCTGACGACCCGCCACCAGCACTGCAGACCACCCCGCAACTGGCCCAGCAGCAGACCTCAGTCCAGAAGCCAAAATCAATCCTCAAAAGGACTCAGGCTCCTGTGCCAACGCCTTCTGCAACAGGGAGCTCATCAGCGTCCAAAGCGGGGCCGGCAATTTTGCGCAAACGGGTTTCGTTCCCTTCGTGCCTCACGAAGGTCTCTACGGGGGGAGTACCTGTGGGTACTCCAACGCTCCTACCTGACAACGCTACGCGGCAGCACCGCCGCAAGCAAAAATTAGAGCCGCGGAGCTGGCTCTCGGCGATCCAACCCAACCCGACTGCGACCAGACTTCTGCCCTGCGACGTACGTTGAGCACGCGACGCCAACTCTCGCAACGATCTCGCTATTCATCTGTGATTTTTAATAAAGTACAATTGCCATGTATCAATAAATATTAAGTTTATCATTCTTATAAGTGTGCGTTTCATTGTGTACTTTCACCTTGACTACCAAAAATACAAGTAAGATCATATGCGGTAATGAAAACATTATACGTACAGTCTATAACTATTTTAATTTGTAGAAGAGGAATCGTCATCTACTGTCATTGTTATACATATAAAACGTTAAGTAGGGGATATTTATTGAAAAATAACAGGAGAAAAGACCACAAAGTTAAAAAAAAGTGTTATTATGCAGTTACAGCTGTAGAAATTTTTCTATCGATAGATTTCTCTTAGTATCACTTGAACTTGAGTTAATTTGTATAATATATTATAAGGAATATGAAAAAAGGTACAGATGTATAAACAACATAAGAAAATTTGGAATTAAATAATTAAAATTTCTTACTCTATGAAAACCTTCATAAAAAGAGTTAAAATAGTCAAATTAACACAAAAATAATTTTTTAATATCTGAAGAGTGTTTAATCAAGCATACTGTGCTTTTGTGACTAAAGCAACAACGCTGTAACTCTTTTCAACGTGACATATGTGCTGTGATACTTTTCGATGAAACTGACAGCACTGTAATTGTTCTTGATGGAACTAATGGCGCTGTGATTCTTTTTGACGTAAATTATAACACTGTGATTATTTTCGACGTAACCTATGTGCTGTGTTTGTTTTCAACAGAGCCTATAGTGCTGTGGTTCTTATCGATGGAACCTACAGTGCTGTAAATGTTTTCAACGTGACCTATGTGCTGTAATTCTTTTCGATGGAACTGATAGCATTGCAACTGTTCTCGACGGAACCAATGGTGCTGTCATTTTTTTGACGCAAATCATAACACTGTAATTATTTTCGACATGACCTATGTGCTGTGTTTGTTTTCAATAGAGCCTATGGTGCTGTTGTTCTTATCGACGAAACCTACAGCATTGTAACTGTTCTCGACGGAACCAATGGTGCTATTATTTTTTTGACGCAAATCATAACACTGTGATTATTTTCAACGTGACCTACGTGCTGTGTTTGTTTTCAATAGAGCCTATGGTGCTGTTGTTCTTATTGACGGAACCTACAGCATTGTAACTGTTCTCGACGTAACCAATGGCGCTGTGATTTGTTTGACACAAATCATAACACTGTTATTATTTTCGACGTGACCCATGTGCTGTGTTTGTCTTCAACAGAGCCTATAGTGCTATTGTTCTTATCGATGGAACCTACAGCACTGTAATTATTTTCGACAGAGCCTATGGTGCTGTTATTTTTTTTTATGAAACCTGCAGCACTGTAATTGTTTTCGACGAAACCTACGGCAATGTGAGATTATTTTTGACGCACCTCATAGGGCTGTGATTCTTTTCAATGGAATTCGTAGTGCTATGACACTTTTAGAACGAAGTTCTTTATGTCGCGTTACTCGAGGGGCTGGAATTTTAAAACCGACAGATTTTTTCTTTTTTTTTTAAACAACAGTGGTTTACCC